TAGCATTCAAAGGTTTTCAATTAATTTCCCTAGTTTGCAGCCAAATACTTCTGTAGAATCATATTCAGTGGAGCGTAATACGGGAGGGCTGCAGGGCTCGATGCAGCTCTTCCTCGCGAATGCACTGTCTGTGGATGCAGAAGGATGCGAGGTCTCTCTACAGCAGGCGTATGGATTCGATCAAGCCATTCGCTAATCCAGTAATCTGAACTTTTTTGGCTTCAGTTTGGGAACCATTTTGGCCGCTATAGTAGACGGTAGCACAACGCATGTTGGGAGTCAGAGGCCAGCCTACAAACTGATGAGAATTCAGGGGCTTTACAGCCGGTAAGAAGGCATCAGTTGCTAGCCAGTAAAATGTTCATGAATGTTTTTATGAGGCTCTGATTATCATGAACAAATATCATGGGTATACGGGTGGTCAAGTACCCAAAGATTGCATCAACCAGTAGAGAATATAGCTCGCTTTATCACCCCAGATGAAGAGAGATATGAATGATCTTTGCGATGTGTTTTTTGAAGGGAAGAGCATCTCAATGGTGGCTCTATTCGCGTACAATTAGTGGGTCAGCCTGCAGGGTATCATATTGTTCAAGCCTTCAATAAATGCCCTGACTCATCGAGTTGTGCCGAGATCAGCTCAACAGTAAGCTTTGGGAGAAGTGCGAAGGCTGAAGCGATAGATTCCATCAGCAGTTTAATATATCGAAAAATGAAAGTTTGGTTCTCAAAAGGCACAACGCAGAAGAGTGGCTGCTTCACCAGTGGCTCATCTTGCGCCTCCTAAAAGTGTCATCTCATGCGGTCACACGTTGGGCAGTGACTCAGCAATTAAACAGCCATCAATTACTTGGGGTTTGAAGAGCGAATGAGTGATACCCGTGCGATTTCGGCTTAGAAGAAAGATCCAGATCAAAGATTAAAACATGTGGTTATGAATGATGTGTCAATTGACCCCAACCCACAGTCTACACTGAACGAGAAAAGAATTACAGAGGAGCCATTGCATTCTTGAGCAGGCTCAGACAACCCCACAACAACGCACCTACTTCTGTTGCTGTAAAATTGGCCTATATAATCAGGAATTGCAACCGTACGCAAAACGTCAAAGAGCAGAGCAACGAGACTGACGCCAACAAAATCAAAGTGCTTGTTGAGTAATGAAAGCACGTCAGGGGAACAAAAAGCCCCTCGCGGACGCCGTGGTGCAGTGAAGGAGCTTTCAGAGGCTAGAGCCGCAGTTGAGGACCGAGCATGGGTCGACTTCGCCCTGATGTATGCTCTTAGTAATGAGCAAGAAGTGCTAGTGATACTCGATTGTGGATGTGGAGTGGATCTGTAATCCTAGGAGACAGCACAGAAGTGCAAGCCAGCTGTTTACTGGTAAGCGCAGTCCCTTGTTCTAAGGTTTGCTGGCGGGCAGCGGAACGCAAGGACTGGCAAGGCTAGGGCAGTTAAATGCTATTCCAAAACAGAGTAGGGTCTCATCGGCATGGTTAATGATTTGTACGCTGTGCCTGTGCACCGTGATGTAATCATGGGCATGGGAGCAGGTTGGGCATGGTAGAAAGTTTGGGAACTCTTTTGTTGTCGTCTACGCACTTAATGTCGACGTGCAAGTATGGAGCACCGTGCTGCATGCTTTCAAATGGAAGGGCGTCAGGATGTAGCAGGATTAGCTACATATAAAAGCTATCCCTCTAGTTATAATATACAAAGAACCGTAGGGAATCGGTTATTTGGTTCGTTTGTGCGTATATTCTTATTCACTGCAGAATACTTTTAGGTCAATTAAACATGATTCAATGTTGTGTGGGGGTGGTATACGCTTTATGCAAGTAGTCGTGATTGCTAGGAGTGTAGAGGGTGCAGCTACGCGCTCCCTCGCTGTCCCTCTCCTTTCATGACAAGAACTCGTAGGAATGCGAGCGGGGGATGGCGGCAATTCTTTTAAGAAACACGCAATAATCTTGTATCAGCTTGCATAGAGTCTGGAGTTTACTACCTTCCTACGGAGACAAACGCAGCGTTTCATCCGCTGCAGATAAATTTAGAATTTGGAGGGCTGGGTAGCCGCAGCAAGAAGTGCGCTTCTTGTGTCTGTTTACTCCATAAACAGAACTGGTATCGCAATTGAAATCAAAAGACAAAATTTTCGTAGGAAGGAAATACAACGCATGCGAAGGGTGCCCACGAAGGCCTTACGGCAGATCTTGGAGGGAACAATATCAGGACGAACTGCAAAAGTGTAGATCCTGATTTATCCATACGTACGCACTACTTAAATGTAATTGCTTGTTATTTAGTGGAGATAGGCTGAGAGCCTCCGTTCCAATGGAATTGCTTCAAAGCCGTGAGTGAGCAGCCATCCAAGGTGTCCATTTCGTTGCATGCCCTCTTTCACTGGCTGGAGCGGCAACAACAGGCCTTCCTGAATTGAAATTCAACGATTTAGATTTCAAAAGGCTAGTTTTTCTGTCCACTAGTGCTCTATACAAGAATTGGGAGGATCGCAGATGGCTGTTACTTCGCCGTTCCACTGCGCTTTTTCCCAAGTACTACGCATGTTTCCTCACTTTCTGGTATTTTCCCTTCGTTGTTTTCCACAACCCTTTTTCCTGACAAGAATATCACTCTGAAGGCAATTGCCACTTTCGTGTACCTGTTGTTAGAAGAGATGGAGAGGAAGTGCATCCGCGGTGAGTGAGACGGCAGTTAGCTTTGCAGATGTATAAGGTTCCTCCGTTGCACGTCGTTTTCTCTCACCCTCTACGCGTTGCTTTTTCTTTACATACTTAGTGTCCTCTACCTTGACAGATTTGACCTTTCCTTCTAGTCACTATGATTGAAGTCAGCAGTTTCTGCAGGCCGTGCTCTCCTTTTTTCTTGGCTGTACACTTTTCTGTTCCCTACCGTCGTTGTCCAGCTAGAGAGGTTATTGCGATGCCCATTCTTCTCTCACCATGGAAGCCCACTGCAGAGGTGTGACAGGTGTCTGCACACAACAGCTGCGCTGTGACAGCCCAAGGAAAATCAAAGCAGCAACAATAAACAATGAACTATCGCGCTTTATCAACACACTTGCTTGAAACTTCTTGAATACAGAGAACTTCCTGCGGATCTTTTAGGCCTGATGGAAAAATGCTTCAGGCAGAGTGGCTTTTTATTAGCGTGCTAGTGCTGGTTGATTAGTTGCTGATTGTTGGTTGGCAACCAGGGCCCTGTTCAGGAACGCAAAGCGAGAGTGATCTGTCTTAATCTGCCGTACTCTGGTTCGTCTGGACGTCTGCTGTGCATTTTCCTTGTCACTTCTTATAGCTATGCTCCTTTTTGCGCTTATATGGTTGAAAATTCATTTTAACTGTATGCTGTGGGTTGCTGCTTCGTGGTACTCCCGGGCACTACGGCCCACTTCACTGCTTGCGTTGTTTGAGCATCTCTTAATGCTTGTTTGCGGTGCTCCATTTTTCCCTGTGTCGTTTGTTTAAAGGCCTTCTAACATTTCTGTTCTTGCTGTCTGTCCTTTTCACCTTCTGCGCCCTGGAGAAGTACCTCTACATGTGGTGAGTTTATCCGGACCTCTTGCTCTTCGTGAAGAGTGCTCCAGTATGACAGTGGTTCCAACACGACTGCTTCGATTTACAAATCAATGAAGAAAGGAACCTTATTTCTATCATCTTGCCGCAGGATCTTTTGGTGCATTGTGGTCGGCGCATTTCTTTTAGTGGATCTCCTTTTTATGGGGCGCGACGCCTTCGTCTACGACCCATTTTACGAGTAAGACTCTACTCCTTCATCACTTCTTCACCCCTTTGGCCGTTTTAGCTGTTGTTTGCGCGCTTTGTCCGCTATCGTCTTCTTGCTGTTTCGGCACCATCAGTTATTAATTTCACTTCTCACTTTCTCGGCGTTCAGCAACTGGGTCCAAAAGAATGCCCCGAAGTACTGAGGGTCTAAATTGAAATTAGCGGCAGAAGGGGAGAAGATTCCCAGACAAGATTAAGGAGTAAAAGCAAAAGGACGGAAAATAGGACGCAGACATGAGAGCCTGAGGGAAAGATACTCACGGGGGAGAGCACGAAGAAGATGAAGTGAAATCAGCTGCGAATTCTTTTGGCCACCGCACTACTAAGCCTGCAGACAGCTACTTCTCACGATCACTTTTGTAGCTTTGTGGTCTCCGAGAATACGCGAGCGGGAGCCTTACTCTAAGCAAAAGCCCCGAAGGGTCCCGTTTGTCTCCTGGGGGAACAGGGCACATGGCGGTTCCTCCTGCAGCTAGGACTGGCCGCGGGAGGCCTGGCCAAACGTGGTACTCATTTTGTGTTTTTTGCTAATGGTGAGGCTTTAGAGGCCCCAAGATGGCCACCCATTGGAATCCGCAGGGGATCCCTAAAGAGCTCTTCGTGACGGCTTTTAGAGGGCCTTGCACCATTAAGGCCCCCTTATTGCATTTTCCGTGGCCAACAAAAGGCCGATTCAGGGCTGGCAAGAGAGCCCTTGGTGGACCAATTGAGTTGCCGCATGCAGTCGGAGCCAACAGGATGCAGGTGCACTGGCAGTGCCTGTTGCTAATTGTGCGAATTTTAAAAAATTTGCAACAGAAAAAATGCCTTTTCTAGTTGTGGGTTTTTGATATGCCAAACAAGCCTTTTTCGTTGGAGAAGTGGTTGGAAGAGCAACTCAGTGGAAAAACCGGCGTCTCGATCCTTAACCGAACTGGACTGCGCACACAAAGTCCGGGCACGTAGATGTAGGGTGGTTAGGGAGTAGGGACAGAAGTGTCAATGCTTGATACAGAAGTAGGTTCCCGTTATCTCGAGCGGCGCAGGGGCTGGACGACAACTCCCACAGCGTTCACTAGTCGACATGATTGTTTCCTTTTATCTCACCCTAACACACTCACGGTTACACTTACTGATACTGTTGCAAGAAATTAGGTAGTATAATACGCTATACAGCATCAGTGGGGACACAACAGAAAAGGAAATGTATTTTTGCTACTTACTGCTGGAGCGTCCCCCGGGAGGCTGATGAACCTTCACGGATGTCCGCCCCGAGTCAGAAGCCGGAGCATTTCCTGTTGGTTTAGGGAGAAGGATAGTGCCTCTCGAGTTTGGCACTGCTGTTCTGTCCCCGACTGCCACGAAGTTCTGGGAAAATAGGTTTTCCTTGCGGGGGCCCACCGAAGCAAAAGCGGGCGGTGGGGGGGATGGCGCTGAGGCAGAAACATACAATTTTGCGAGCTTTTTGATGTTATGGTTAGAGTCATGGATACAGCATCTGTACTGATATAGCCGGATTCAAGAAGAATGAGCGTGTGCAATATGCAAGAGCAGTCAAACCGACGAGAGCATAACACGAGTGGTTCACTGGGATGGCCTCAGCAACGAAGGCCACGAACTCAGCTGCACGTACTGTCATCTCCAAAACGAATAGTGGAATTTCCACCAGGGGCTGCGTGTACCCTAGTGGAGGGCCGGTTCTTGTAGAAGGGGTTGTCCCCGCTGTCTGCAGACGGACAGAAAAGCAGAGCAGGGATTGGACGCTGGATCCAATGTTGCGATTCAACATGGAAGCGACCACTGAAGCCAACAACGCTGTGTGCCTCAGTTAAACCGAGGAGCTGCTGTGCGGACGGCTGCACATGAGCTGTTCAGCACCAAAACTTAAAACACCTCGATTTCCCCAAACCATGAATAAACCTTGTGTGTATTTTTATCGCAGTGACAAGAAACTAACCCATTTCCTCTAATACGGAATGTCGTTGAGTGATTGTAGGATGCTGGATTGTCCTTTAACACCCCCCAGTGTTGGAGGGCGACAAGGATGATGAACTGAAAATGGAGAGTCTGTTGTCACAAGCCAGAAGTTTCAAGAATGGCGAAAATAATAAGCCCACACACTTATTTTCGTTTGATGGCAGCTACAACGACAAGCTCGTGGAGAGGAAGTTCTGTTGGCGATTGAGCACTAAAGAGCATCAAGCACTTGCAGCAACCAGCCCCACTACGGCTGTGATGAAGCACCCCTTACTCTCTTAGCAGTATCCTTCACTATTGATGGTATGCAGTATATTGAATTGATATGAGTACAGACGTATATGTGGTGATACGTTGGTTTTGCCTTCGAATGAAACGTAGATGCTGGCAAGAAGGCATTACTCACTGAGCAGCTAATGGCGAACAACTTTATCCAGCAAGGGCATTCATGCAGGGAAATGCGCTGGAACTGAAGCACCTTTGGATTGGGAGTAAAACATGCTCAAGAGCGCTGATCTGGCTGACTGTGTACTTGGCTGCTACGCGACTGCGCTGGCTGATTCACAGTATATAAGCTGTTATTGCATATTAAACAGTCTGAAGACAGAACAAGTGTGGTATTTATCGTTCAGTACTAGTGCTACATCGTTCCTTTAAAGCCTCAACTGTTTCGTGGCATGGCAATAGTCCACAGACTCGGGTAATTTTGCCGCGATTTGCATGATAATAAAAGTGATTTCCTTATGAGTATACTGTGAGCGTGTACTTCACAAGAAGGAGCCTTTGCTTGGCAAAGAGCCTTAATGTTTCCAGGAATAAGCAGTGGTCGCTCCAAAGCACGAGCTTCATGCACTAAGTTCACAAAATCTGTAACACACCGCAAGGAGACATTAAATTCCAGACTTTATACACACTTAGTAAAACGCAATGGAGGGTCTTTCAAATAGCTCCTGCCTGCACCTCTCAGAGGTTTGGGCATGAGGGGGGGAGCGCAGCTAGGGTGCGCGCAGCTGCACCCTCGGAGCAATCCGAGCATTCGCGACTAGTTGGACAAAGCATTTAGATCACACGTACACAGCACTGCGCCTTCTTGTATCGAGCTGCCACTACTATACAAGGAATAAGTCATACTAACGGCTAGATAATAGTTTTACTCGTTATTAGCTCTTGACTAAATAGAATCAATTCGTGTGGAGCTTTGCGTGCTACACGATTCCCCATACCATTTTAACACACAGTCCCTTGTTTCCCTAAGTGTATATTCAAACCAGCAACATGCGGGGCAAAGAAAGAGTTCCTGCACTACCGCCGCTCTCAAGGCAGGCAGAAGCGACAAAACAGTGCAGCTGAGAAAAGCAATAGTGTCCTTATCCGGCAAAGAAAACTACAAGAAGGGCACACGTCAGCCGATAACAAACGAGGACCAGAACAGCATGGCCGTGGCGGAGCGATGGCTCGCTGCCGTTGCAGTGCTGAACGGTGTGAACCTCTTGGTACAAAAAAAGGATCATAAAGCGTATAGGGACTTTTCATACTAGTTCAGCAGTGCCTTCACGCCTCAGAGCAGTATGCGCATGCCAGGTAAGAGTAAATGTAATTGCGCCATCTTCCGTCCTTTTCAGCATCAACAGCAGGGTGATACCCATACCCGCTGGTTGATTGCTGGACCACGACGTTTCCATCAAAGTATTCACCTGCCGCCGAATCTCTGCTGCATACGGTGAGGGCTCCTGACACCTGGGAATGTAGCTGCGGCGGACTGTGTAATTTGCTCGATACGGTACGTTGGAAGGCCAGTAGGTGACCAGCCTACTGGGAATTAATGTTTAAAAATTCAGCACATCCGCAATGTCCTTCTTAGAGTTTGCATATTCCTACTCCTGGTCAGCCCAAGCTCTAAGAGACATTCCCACTAAAATGCTAGCTGCAGAGCCTGTAATACGGGAGGAATGTTTGGAACCGTGTTTTCTTTCTGCACTGCTGAGTTGCCCACGTGAAGATCCTCTGGCTCAACTTGAGGTATTGACTCTATCGTGTTCATCATAGATTAAATGAGCTTAGCTGAGGCAACCAGGAGTTGTTGCTTCCTAGCACACTGATCTCCACAGCGCGCAGCTGTGGCCGCCGCATGAGCGACCACCGCGCTTTCCATTGGGTGACGCATGCCTACCTACAATTACATCACGGTGCACAGGCACAGCGTACAAATCATAAACCATGCCGATGAGACCCTACTCTGTTTTGGAATAGCATTTAACTGCCCTAGCCTTGCCAGTCCTTGCGTTCCGCTGCCCGCCAGCAAACCTTAGAACAAGGGACTGCGCTTACCAGTAAAAACCGGCTTGCACTTCTGTGCTGTCTCCTAGGATTACAGATCCACTCCACATCCACAATCGAGTATCACTAGCACTTCTTGCTCATTACTAAGAGCTTACATCAGGG